TATGAAATAGATAAGAATGAAGGATCTGTAGATAGGGTGTGTGTGTTGGGGGGTGGGGAGGAGCAAGAGGGAGAGACAATGGATGCATCTATGACGTTCTGGAATAGGAGAGAGGGTGTTGGAATGTCACCACACGTTTGGAAGTACATGGATGGTGGTGCTGACACTCGGGTGAGTAGATGAAGGTGAGAAAATCAGAGAATGGGATTTGAAGCGACATCTTTGTCTCCTTTCTCAATTACCAGGCTATCCCATCTCCATCATCTTGATCTGTTTGTCAATAATAGTGCCCCCTCTGATCCTTTTGGTACTCCTTTCTCATCGAGACGATTCTGACTCATAGTGACCCTATAGGATTGAGTAAAACTGCCCCATAGGGTTTCTAAGGAGCGGCTGGTAGATTCGAACTGCTGTCCTTTTGGTTGGCAGCCATAGTGCTTAGCCACAGCACATCCAGGGCCTTGCATTATGGTTTATGAGGTGTTGCTGAGTTTTGTTTTGTTTTTAATGTATCTTTTTTTGTTCTCTCACTCTTTTCTACAGTTTTATCTATTTATGTCTTTTTAGCATTAATCTTTCCATCATACTCTTTCCTTTTTCCTGCCACTTTCCATGTTCTTTTTCAGAGTGCTTTTTTGTTTGTGTTCTCAATAGGTCGTATCAGGATATCATGTGAGCCCTCCTTAAGTCTCCTCTCTTATTAGGAATAAGACTTCAGAATCTAAATATGTCATCCAGGGTCAGACTTTGATACTCATAAATTTCATCAAATCAGAGTACCCATAGATTTATAAGATGAATCATTCATCAACAGACAATAGTTTTTAAAAGCCTGTGAATTTATTGTAAGTTGGTATCAATATTAAGATCCACCCAGATTTCATAGATGTAAAATGTGAGAAAGAATGTGTATCAGAATACATGAAATATGTTATACAGCTTAATGGTAACATTTCCTTGGCTTCCCATTTTAAAACTTTTTTCTGTTTCGACTTAAGCGTCATTTGTCAAAGTAGGCTAAATATAATTGTGCAGGAATAATTGTATTTGCAAAGATGCTGAGCCTTTGTAAAGTGATTTCTTTGTATCTGCTTGGATGATCTTCTAATCCTCTAGGCCCAGCTGAGATACCACTTCTTCTAGGAAGCCTTCCCTAGTGCCCCAAATGGAAGCAAGCCTGCCTTGTCTGGAGTCATGCAGAGAACCACTTTACTCTGTACTCATGGCATTGCAGTTATTTTAGCTTTTCTTCCCCTTCAACTTTGTAAGTTCCATGAGGGCAGTGTTCACTGTATGTGGATCCCCGGCAAGATCTCTTACCTCCATATGTACGTTGTTGTTATTGTTGTGTGCCACCCGGTCAATTCCAACTCGTAGAGACAGAATAGGATGGAATAAAACTGTCCTGTAGGGTTTCTTAGGCTACAACCTTTACAGAAGCAGATTGCCAAGTCTTTTCTACCTTGAAAAAGCTGGTTTGAACCACCAACCTTTTGGTTAGCAGCCAAGCGTTTAACCATTGTACCCC